CTAGGAACAAGGCACCAGAAAGCAGAGAGAGCTGTCTGCTCCACAAGGATAAAATATATACACCAAAGCACATCTCTAGGGATCCACCTCCTCTAGCCACACCCTACCTACTTACATAGTTACTACTCAGTTAATCCCTGTCAGGCAATTGATTAATGGATTGATTAGGTTAAGGTTATTGTAACCCAGTCATAACCTCTAAACATTCTTGCATTGCTCATACAATAGCTTTTGGAGGATACCTCATATCTCCACCATAACAAAGAGACATCATTAAATTTTTGAAATGTAAAAATTATATGACCACAGTGCAGTCACACTAGAATGTCCACCCCACCTTGCCTGCTTTCCACCGTTCTAGGGATCAAACTAAGGCCTTGCTAGCCCAGTGCTCTACAACTGAGCTATACTCCCAACCCTTAGAATTTATTAATGACACAAGTAAATAAGCAGCTATAGCAGCCCTCTGTTATTCATGTTTTTGTTCTTCTTTGGTCAGCTGTCCAAAAGAAAACATTAGATGGAATGTACTAGAAACAAATAATTTATAATTGATCATTGTTCTGAGTTGTGTAATGAAATCTTTTGCTATCTTACCTGGAGTGTGAATCATTCCTTTGTTGTATATGCTACGTGCCTGTTAGTCACTTAGTAGCTGTGTTGGCATCAGATCTTCTGTTTCAGTACCAGTGTTTATAAATAGGATTTGGTATCCACTGGATGTCTTAGACTGAATCCTCTACAGATAAGGGGATTATAACATTGACATCCTTGGAAATGAAACTAAATAAAATGACTTCTCAAAGCAGAAGTGATTATTATAATTACACATTATTTTCTGGTCTTTGTTTTGTGGCCAGTGATAAATGGATAAGTATTATGCACAAATTCTGCACAAATAGACCTGGCAGCCCTTCCGGATCACAGTTTTCTCCCTTCCCTAGAGGCAGTCCCTATGTTGACTTTTACAGTAAGAACCTTTTAGATTTTCTTTTTTTGTTTTACACCCTGTGCGTGCTCCCCCACATGTGTAATATTGTTTTGTCTATTTGTGTTAATTGGATTGTGCATGTCAGGAAGGAGGCAAGAATGCTTACTGTCATTGCTGTACTTAGAATGAAATTGTCAAACAAGGTAAGACCTAAAGGGAAAAGTAGAAAACTTTGTTCAACGACATTGAAGAAAATCTAAGTAAATAGAGGAATGCTGTGTGTTTATGGATTAGAAGAATCAGTACCATTAACAAAAGGTAAGGTCTCAACAGTCTACTATTAAGTGCAGTACAATTTATTTGTTAACCACTGATAAATACCCTTTATGAGACTGACAAATTTTTCTCCTTGTATGCTGGGAGTTTACTACTTTCTGCATTTATTGAGAGGACCTGTGATTTTTGTCTTTTATTAATGTAGAAAAGTATACTGACTGAGCATGGTTACACACATCTGTAATCCCAGTGACCTGGGAGGCTGAGCAGGAAGATCCCATGTTTGAGCCAGCCTAGGCAACAGTGAGACCCTTTTTCAAAACAAAATTTTAAAATAAAGGTCTGGGAATGTAGTTCAGTGGTAGAGTGCTCCTGGGTTTAATTCCCAGTACCAACAAAACAAAATACACACACACACACACACACACACATACACACACAGATTGATATCTCTCTGTTAAACCAGCTTTTTATTTCTAGGATAAACTAGTTTTGTTAATAGTTTTTTGGGGAATTTTTCCTTTTGTTTTCTGAAGAGCAAATGTGAAATCATTACAAGCATAGGGTAAACAAATGCAAAGGCTGGTGAAACAACAAAAGGTCATCGTAATTGTAATAGAGAGAAGGAGGGGGAAGAAGCAATAGGTCAGAAGTTGGAGGGAGGGCAGGAGCCAGATCATTTGTGACTACAGATCATACTAGAAAGTTTGGCTTTAATCTTGAGATGGGAGGCCACTGGAGAGTTTTAAACAAAGTAGTAACATCTTCTGAACCAGTTAACAGTGTCACTTTGGGAAAGTTAGGGCAGGGCAAGGTCAACTATTGAGGAGACTCTTAATGATAATCCATACAAGAATGATAGTGATTTGGACCAGGATGGCAACTTAGGGATAGTGAAATGTGGTTGAAGTCTTGATAAATTTTGTCTGAAGAGGTGATAGAATTTCTGACAGATATGATAGAGAGTGGGAAAGAAAGATGAGATACAGAAATGACTCCACATCGTTTGCCTTGAGGAACTGGAAAATGTAGAAGTCATTAACTGAGATGGGGAGCACATCAGGAAGATCCCCTTCAGAAGGAAATATGAAGATCTTAGGTTTGGTTATACTTTAGATGAAATGCCTATTAGGCATCCAAGTACAGTTATAAAATAACAGTCATATATTGTTCTGGAATAGGGAGAGATAAGGTCTGTAGATATAAATTTAGGAGTCATTTTATCGTCTGTAACAAAGAATACCAACATTGAGTACAGATGTAAAAGAGGAGAGATACAAAGACAAAACTATTAGATATGGAAATCAGGAGAGGAAGAATATCCAGCAAAAGAGACAGACAGAGCAGCCAGAAATTTAAAAGAAAACCAGACAAATGTGGTGTCATGGAAATAAAGAGAAGGGCATATCAGTACGTTCTATGCTCCTTTTGGATTAGTAAGTTGAATAGTGACCATTATCTTTAACAGTTTTGGGTCATTTTATCTTAAAATTTATATGGAAGAATGAATATTTGATAAAGCCAAGCAAAATAGTGGAAACTGAGACAGGAGCTTACCTTATTAGATGTCAGGACATACTATATGCAATCTGTTTAATTAAATCAGTGTTGAATTGGTATAAAAAATGGACAGAGAGATCATTCTTAAAAATGGAGAAGGTTTTCTCTGTTTATGAATATTTATTATATGGTAAACAGTTCTCTTCAGGAGTAGATCAGGATAGATTATTTAATAACTGGGGCTAACCTAACTGGGTATCCATTTGGCAGAAAATAAAATGAATCTCAAAAGGATTTAAGGCATAAATATAATAAATAAAGCAGTAACCATCTTTGGAGAAAAGGAGAAAACAAATATAATGTCTGGGTGAATATAAAACAAGAAACATGTTAATAGAAAAATAATGAGCCAACATTTTAGAGGAGAGCAAATCAATTGACCAATAGACTAAGAAAAACACCTTAAGTATATTAGTAGTCAGGGAAATGAATCAATGAATATTGATCATTGGTAGAGAAATAAGTTTAAAAAATCTTCTGTTGCTAGCAGAGACAGGAGGGAAAAGGGATTATCATACTTTAAATGGAGTTCTGTTTTTTTCCCCTGTAATATTGCTAATGTGATGGTATAATTTTCTATCCAGGGAGAAACGTGTGTTGTAATGAAGGTTCAGCCACTTAGTACCCTGGCTTTAGACCACCTACATAAAGTCTTTTAGCTTCATTTTCCTAGTGAGATGAAGGTCATCATCCTTAGCTGATCACTTCTAAAGCCGAATGTCAGATAATGTGTCATTCAGAACTTTGGATAGGACAAAGAGGAGAGAGGGGAAGAGAGGGACCAGGGGATAGGAAAGATGATGGAATGAGATGGACATCATTACCCCAAGTACATGTATGAAGACAGGAATGGTGTGATTCTACTTTATGTACAACCAGAGAAATGAAAAATTATGCTTCATAAGTGTACTATGAATTGAAATGCCTTCTGCTGTCATGTATAACAAATTAGAATAAGTAAATAAATTTTAAAAAAATGTGATTCAGAGAATGTTAGGACAGGCCCTGAACCTTTCAGTAATGGAGTTCAAGAACAAGTACGTAACTTTTGACATGTGTAAGGAAAGAAAAGTTACTTATAACTTGCAGTAAGAAAAAAAAAAGTGGTGGGTGGGTGGGGGAGAAGATCTCATGATGAAGGCTTGATTTCTTGGTTGCATTCAGCACTAGGTCTCAGTTTTGTAGGTATAACAGCACTGCCCAATAGAATGCTCTTATGATGAGGAAGATGTTGTCATCCATGTGTTTTCCAGTATGGTAGCCACCGGTCACATGACTTTTGAGCAGTTAACATGTTACAACTAAGTAACTGAATTTTTAAATTTTAAAGAATTTAACGTACAATTTAAATTGTCACATGTAGATAGTATTATAGTGAAGAGGACAAAAAAAGTCTAGTCTACATGCACCTATTGTAATTTGAAACAGATTATAAAAGGTTGCTGTTTAAAGTACAATCAGAGCTATATGGGATTTGTACTTGAAGAGAGTAAAATGGATATTAAAATGTTGTTTGGTACAAAGAAGGTCAGAATGAGGGAACTGTTGACAGAAGATATTCAATTTGAGGAAGCATTAATCCAAGGAAGACTCCCTGGCCAGAAGTCAGCCTTGCTCTTATAGGTGCTTTCCCAGTGCAGCATTTGTTTTTGTCTTTGCAGTTTGTTGACTGCCCAAAACAGTGTTCCCTTTGCAGTGTGTGTCTTCACTTCTTGCTCTCAAGGTTGTAGTCTCTGTTCTTTTCTCTGTTGTGGATCTTTGCTGTGGGCTTCATAATGGACCACATACCTGTCTTTAAGGAGCTTTCCTTTTCTAACATTCTAGGAACTTTAAAAAAGTGAGCTTCATTTTCATGGACTGCATCACTAGAGTATTGCTTGTGCCATGATTTAGGGATCCAGATGTGAAGGATTCTGTGCCAGCTGTCTCATCCTATACATGGGAATGTCTCTCAGCAGCATCTTTCAATGTGTGAGAAATAACATTTTGGTTGATACTTTAAATATACGAAATAGAAAATATGGAAAAAGTTGGGGTTTCTGCACTTATTACATGTCTGTGAAACAAAGGTGTATTTTACTGTATTTATTTGCAAAATAGAATACATCTCTGACTCATGGATTAAACTAATAAACAACTTATATCACTTAAATTTTACAAAGAGCAAAGGTATTTGATTATTGATAGATGGTTTCCTGAAGTTTTATGTGTCCTTTTTGTTTGTTTTTTATAGAGTCCTGTGAAGATAAATCAGATTAGCCTGGATGAAAGCGGAGAGCACATGGGCGTGTGTTCAGAGGATGGCAAGGTATGGTGAGGACAGGGTCCTGTCCCAAGTTCCTGGTCCAGCACTAAGTGCTTTGATTTTATCCGACCCCAGGTGATCGGAAATGCATTCTGCTTACTATATACCTGCATTAAGAGAACCCTGATTATTCTTTTGAATATTGGACTTGCTTCCGATTGCTTATTATTAAAGTAAAATATATTTTGCACAAATGTGCCTTAGGAAATGTAATTACAAGAATGTCAATAATATAACTAGTATTAAGCTGATTAACAGCTGTGGCAGGGTGACGTGTCACCTTAATCATTACTTCTATGCCACTTACACCTCAGTGACTAGTCTGCAGTTCCTGCAAGACAGTAGCTTAATGCCTTTCTGCCATAAATCCACAAAATTGGATTTTGTGGGCATGATTTCTGTAGGCTGGTGGTTTTCATTTTCACACACAAGTTATGAATGTTTCTCTTGAATTATAGAATCTTTTGATAAGCAATCATAGTTTATCAGAAGAATAAAGTGTCTTACAATGGCCACATTAAATAAATGTAAAATCAATATATGTACAGTTTTCTAAAAACCTGGCACCTACTTCCTTGACCGAGAACATACATCATTTGTGCAGTGTATAACTAACAATTATCAGTGCTTCTTGCTGATGTTGAGCTGTGACATTTAGTGGTTTCAGTGATTGATTTTTCACTTATAACAATGTCTTTTTTGTTTTTAAGTCGATGGAAGTCTTTTCTAATGTTGGTTTGCAATGATAAAATTCTAATGCACAGTGTATTTAAGCTACTTTTCTACAATAACAGTTTAAGAAGAGACTGCATTAAGAATCATTATAGAACTTTACGTATTCCCTACTGAATAGAGATTTCCTAATCTAATTTTGTATTTTTATGGGCTTTAAATTCAGTGGGCCATTAAGATGAGTAAATTAAAAACAATATACTCAGTAAAAAGAGTTATAACCATTTGTATCTATTAACAATGTTATACTTATTAATCTATTAATAAAAAGCAACGTGAAATCCTTTTGACATATGAGAATGCATTTTGTATATTGAAGTCTAATGTTGCCCAAAGAATCTTTTGAAACAGTAATTGGAACACTAGTGCTTTTCAAAAAGCACTGTCAAATTTTCCAGTACTTTGTGAAATTCTGAGATGAACGTAGTTGTCAGAGGAGAGGAGGAAAGAGTTAGTTTGTGCAGAAATTGAGAAAAATCATCCACACTATTGAAACACTTTTATGTTCATGTATTTGCAAAGAAAGTTAATTTTCATGTTGTTTTCTTAAATGCAAAAAATTTATTCCAGATTGATAACCAGTTTAATTTGATGAAAGAGAATATTTAAGGTTTTAATTGCATGTAGAGTTTTTGCTAAGATATTTTAGGAATTTTCAGAAATGTTGAAGAATTACTGTGAAAATGAAATATTTTAACTACTTCATCTGGTGCATAGTGACATGACCCCAAGATATCTCATGGTACCCTTGTTAACAAACACCTTTGTTTGCCTATTTTAGTAAAGTTTATGACTGCCATATTTTCATATCGACCCATGATGTATTTTAAAAAATGGTTTTCTCACATTTTATTAGCATTAATAGAACAAAAAGTGAATCTTCAGAGTGCACATGTTTATTTTAGCCACTCATTATCATAGGTTAATGAGTGTTGTGAAAATTGAGAAACTAATACAGAATGATACACTAATGTAAGTAATGATGATTAAAGCCAAGGATGTTTACAAAGATAAATCCCAGCTATCCAGTCTCAATGCATCTTTTGTTTAAAATATTTTATTGTTGTAGTTGGACATAATACCTTTATTTTATTTATTTATTTTTATGTGATGCTGAGGATCAAACCCAGGGCCTTGCACATGCTAGGCAGGCACTCTACTGCTGAGTCATTAGTCCAGATGCCCTAATGCATCTTTAAATGGCTGTTGCGATCTTTGCTTTTTGAGTGTGTTAAGATAAATAGTTATTTATCTTTATTTCGAAGATAACCTTTGATATTTGCATTTATTTTTGAAGTCATATTTCTAAGAGTTGGTTAAAATTTACCCTGTTTGCTCACAGGGACTCATTTCTGTTCTTTTTCCCCATGACTTCTCTGTAGTTGTATTCTAAATTTTGAAATACACAAATACATTTATCTTATGTGTATGTGTCTACATATATATTCAGTTTCATTTTACTGGCATATTATTATAGGTTTACTTTCAGGATGAAGACATACAGGGTTTCTCATCTCTTGCGTATGTTTCCTTTAGTATTATAAAATTCTGGGTCAAAATCTTTTCTTTCCAAATTTTGGAGATGTTACTCTAATTTTTCTGACATGTTGTAGGCCTTGGAGCTTGAATAATAATAATAATAATAATAATAATAATAATAGGCTTGTCTAATAATAACAATAAGAAGAAACAGCAATAATAAATGGTCCTATAATTCATTTTGGCACTTTATGTCTAGTTTTGGTCTCTTTTCATTAATTTTGTCTGGAACTTAGTAAATCCTTTTGATCCATATATACTAAAGTATTATTTTCATTTCAGGAAAGTTTACCTCAGTTATAATTTTGATTATTACTTCAGTTCCATTTGTTTTCATTTCTTCAAAGAAATTCAATAATACAAGGCTGGAGGCAGTATTGCTTAGAGGCCAAGTGCAAAGCTGTGTTCAGCTTTTTGGGCTGGTATTCCTACTCTGCTGCCCTGAGGTGTGTGCATTGCTTGGCTTCCCAGTTCCTCCATTGCTTCAGCTGGACAGGGGGTGCAAAAGGAGACCTTCATGGAAATGTCATGAGGTGCCACTCAATTACAAATCACCTTTTTTTTTTTGGCCATTTATTTCCTCTTTGTAGCCTAGCCTGTTTCCCTCTTCTATTATGGTACTTACATTTTTCCATGCAAAAGGTAGAATGGATAAGTACTGTTAACCCCCCCCCTTTTTTTTTTTGGAAAACACACAGATTGTAAGAAGTGGTCATATTACATAATAAGTTAAATTCACACTTTGCTCTCTCATTGGTTTTATCCTTTGATTTCTCTGTAGTCAGAGACAGATTTTCTACTTATTACTTTGCTGTTTTGCTTTTCTTCCAGTGTCAATTTTGTTCCTTATTGCTTTGTGGAATAGATTTTTATTCTATTTTGCATTTTTAATTTTCCTGGAATCTCTCTCCTGGCTCTATTTTCGTATCAACCTGATATGTAATTTAAAAAACAACAACAATTATGACTTCTTATATGCCTTCGAGTATTGGACAGTACTGCCTAGTGGTTAGGAATGGAATAATGTGGTCTCTTTTTAGTTGTATGACATCAGATAAGTGATTTATATCTCTTTGTGCCTCGGTCTCTTTCCTCCCCTATAAATAGGGATAATCACAATACCTACTTTATGATAATTAGGACGACTAAATGAGTTCATATCTGTAAATTACTTGGATATTACTGGTACAGAAGAAAGAGTAATTGTTAGTTATCACTGAAGTTATCATTATCATCACCCTATTTTTCTGTTGGGGTTTCCAAATAGTTTTCTAATTTTTCTTTGGCTAGTGGTTACCATTACATCATCTTTAAAAGCATAATTTTTCTCTGAGTCTTTGGAGTGGTGTTCTACAGTTTTTTAAATAGATTGTGTATTTTTTGTTTCTTTTGTTTTATCTATTTCATAACAGGGAGAAGAGCTCTTCCTGATTCCATGTTAGCAACAGATTTAGTGCCTGACTTTTTCTTGGCCCTGCCTGATTTATTTTGGGTGTTAGAGAATCACCTTCTTAGATTGACAACAGAGGTCTTCAAATGAGCCTGATTTCCTTTGACTGGAGTAATTCAGTGAAGGCAGCCCTCCCTGGGGAAGTGGAAGGCTCCCCTGTTATCACTCCTTGCTCCCTGATTTTCTACCTGGGCGGACTGTATGAAAACCAGCAATCTCTCCTGCGAGGGTCATGTTCACTACTGCTCAAGATGTAATGAAAGCTTGCATGGGCACCCCTGTTCTCATTCTTGACCTATTTTTATTTGGAAGCTGGGGTTTGAGAGAGGTTGTTAGGAGGAAATATGAACCAGGGGGGTTGTATGATGTTCTGGCCATTTTGGTCATAGTTCCTTTATGTCCAGTGGGGTATGGCATGGTTTTTTAGTTGACAAATATATAGAATTCCATGCTAAAGTAGAGAAAGACTATACATATTCCTTCCTGTTCCATTAGTGTTAGGTTTTATTTATTAAGGCAGTAAAACATATTACATACCCCCTGTGGTACTTATGTGGCTCTCTCTGTAGTTCATAAGAATTCTTCTAAGATTTTGCTGGAGATTTGCTATAAAGCCATTTGTTATTAATGTTTTTTCTTCATTAGGTATTTTTGTGGCAAGTTGATTGGGCTGCTCTAGGGGATACCATTATCAAAAGGGTCCTCTATGTTGTAACCTTTAATTTTCTGATTCTTAGCTGAGATCTCCTGGAAGCCAAAACTGTCTGGGCTATCAATGAAGAGATTCCCTTCACAGAAAAGTTTGATTTTTGCCAACAAAATGGCCAAATAAATAAAGAAAGAGACAGAAAGGAAATGACTGAATCATTTTGGACTATGTTAACTTTAGTAGTCTAATTTGTGACCAGTTAGTTTGGGATATTACGTTAGTGAAGTGAACCACAACACTGACACTTTTATAAATCACCATAATACTGACACTGACTTTTTAAATGAAATTTGTCTTGTGAAGTTGCAGTGTTTCCTTATGAGAGCAATGGAGGTAAATGTTATTCAGTTAAGCATAGTATTAGAAACTTTCCTGTGTAGTTACTCCTCCAGTGGTGGCATTTTTGCTTCTGGCTAGTTCTCAAGAATAGTGATGAATAATAATTCCTGTTTTCTAAGAATGTCTTTGGCTTTGTTCTTTTCTCCTCTTCTCTCTCTCTATATCCATACATATTTGTATCTTCAATATGGATTCATAATTTTTAAAAGGACATTTATCCCTAGGAATTCATGATACCATTGGATCCACAAGCCTAGTATTTATCTGCTTTTGTACTGATGTGTCAGTTTTCTTCAGTAGGCCTATGCATCATTTGTTTACATCTCATATTTTTCTGCACAATGGAAATTCCTTATTCTTGAAAATATCTTTACACATCTATAGGCAAAAGGAAGTTTATCCATTTGAATGAGTAGTCTTAATTTATTTTCAACTTCTTTGAGTTGCCTTAATTCAAATTCTGACATTCACACTCTCTATTTAAGGCTTTTGAATGTTGGTTTTTGTTGTTTTTGTTCTCTTCTGTTCTTCTAATACGGTGTGTGAAAAATTATCTTTATTTGCAAATTTTAAGCTATCTTATTAAGATATAAATATAATATAAAGATATCATGTAGAAGAATGGGCTTTAGAGTACTTGGGTTCTGGTCCCAACTCCTATGCTTATGATTGTTATAACCTTAGGCAAGTCATTTAATTTACTGAAGAATCATCTGTTAAACAAGCACATTGGTGTTTGATCTTATCCCTGGCAGTGTGGTTGTGAGGATCAAATGAGATAGAACAAGATCTCCAACCATAGCAATGTAGTGTCCATTATGAGGCTTTAAAAATATAACTTTAGAGCTGGGGTTATGGCTCATTGGTAGAGCGTTCTCCAAGCATGTGAGAGGCCCAGGGTTCAGTCCTCAGTACCACATAAAAATACATAAGTAAAATAAAGGTATTGTATCCAACTACAACTAAAAAATAAATAAATAATGAGAAAAAAATCACTTTAAAAGTTTGATTTGCTATGGTGGGATCCAGCCATTTGTATCCATGGATTTTACATGTTTAATTAGGTTTGAAAACCATGGAAATAAAGCATATTTAAAACATTTAGGGATGTAAGGTGGTAGGAGTATAAGGCTTGACATAAGACTGTGTTGTGACATTATTGTGCTGAGAAGGAATCAATTGTTAGAAGGGAAATTCATCTTACAACTTCAGTAGTAGTTCATACTGAGGACACTTCTCGAAGGGGGCCACTTGTTGATTCCCTTCACTAAGATTCAGGTGATACAAGACCTTCTTACCCAGTTTTGTTAGAGTTTTGGGGATCTGTCAAGTTAAATTTCCCATGGTAAAGTCAAACCCTGAATGCAAATCTTCCCTTTTCTTACTTCTTAACCACTATTTTGTAACAAATTCAGTGTATCCTGTACTTGTACATTTATATAAAAACAATGACTTTATACACTCTGAACAATGAGACATAAAGTGGTAGTAGGCATATCTGTGTTTGCGATGTCAAGAATACATATTTACCCTGAGGTTTTCTCTTAGAATGTATTCTTGACATGGCAAAAAGAGACAACTTCAAGGTAAATCAAATTCCCTCTGGGTTACATTGTATCATATGCTATTACTGGAACTCAAATAACATACCTGCACAAATATATGAAAGCAGTAGTCGCAAAATGAGTGGAACATCTTGAAGATTTTATCTGTTAATGCATGAAGCTTTCTCAAAAAATCATATAATATGAGTGAATTTTTTTGCTTGTGACTTGAAAGAATGAACCCCTTGCAATTTACTTAAAATTAAAACAAGAAGAAATTGAAAGCTTGGATAGTCTTATATCTATATAAAAATTAAATTTGTTATTAAAAACCTCATAGAGAACTCTTATTTAGCATGTTTGTGCTACTGTAACAGCATAGCTTAGACTGGGTTATTTTTAAATGACAAAAACTTATTCCTCACAGATCTGGAGGCTGGTAAGTCTAATATAAAGGTACTGATTCAGTGTTATGAGGGCTGCTTTCTCTGCCTCCAACGTGGCACCTTGTCACTTTGTTTTCATAGCAGAAGGATGAATATTCTATTGTTACATGGTAGAAGGCAGAAGGAATAAGGGTCTAGCTAATACCCTTGATTCCTTTTATAAAGGAACTAATAACTCACCCATGAGGGCACAGCCCTCCTGAAAGTAATACCTCTTAACACTATCACCTTGAGGGTTAGATTTCAGCATAAGAAATTCGGGACGGCACAAGCATTCAGACCTTGTTTGAAGCAAAGCCATTAGACACAAAGGACTTCACCGATGAATTCCTCCAAAATTTAAAGAAAAAAATAACAACATTACCCTGGAGACTAGAAGAGCGAATATGTCTCAAGTATTGGGAAATAGTTCCTATTGGCCCTAATACTATTACTTAGTTCCAGGTCTTTAAGATCTCCTGAAATTATCATCCTCTATTGGCAAGTACATAAATTGATTAAAATCAGTTTATGAAGTGGTTTGGCTGTCTATTATGTGAATGTGTTTGCAACCTATGATGTAGCATTTCCATCCCAAGTTATACACCCTTTATAGATGTGCATAAAAGTGTACCAAAGTATTTGTAATGAGTGTTCTTCAGCGTATTATTCATAATAGCCCCAATCTGGGAACGTCCCGAGTGGTCATTAGTGGAAGGGATACATGAATTATAGCCATACATTTAAATACCATACATCAATGACAGTGAACCAACTACTACTATATGTAACAATATGGATCAATCCCATGGGGAAAATTTAAATGAAGAAGCCAGTGGAGTAATTCATAATTCCACTTATATAAAATTCAAACACCAGCATGACTTATCCATGGTGATGTATTCTAGGATAGTGGTTAATTTGCAGGTAGTATTAGTCAGGAAAGGGCACAGAGGGTTTTCATGGGTTCTGTTTCTTGATTGGCCTGATGGTTGGCAGGTTAGATTGATGTCATAAAAAAAAAATGTGTCAAGCTGTAAATTAATTTTTTGTATCCTTTACAGTGTATATATTATACTTCAGATTTCCTTTTCATTTTTTGTTGCTATGGTCTAATTAAAGGACTCATAAAAATCATAAAAATATGAACAAAGTAGTCTGAAACAACTTTAAGGTAGGCACTGATAAGTGGGAACTTAAATATTTCATTTATGCACTCTAGATTTAGCATAAGATTGAAAATGAAGTGCAGTTCACCTAACCTTTTACCACATTGATCTACGTGGCTGATATATACCTGTATATGTATATGATATATATATGTATATATGTACACACACACATATGCACATGCTCCCTTTTCCTTTAAGGGATAAAATAATACTTCCTTTAGGATAACTTATGGGAAGTTCATAAAAGAATATTAGTAACCTTTTTATATCTACTTCATTTTTGAAGGTTGGCATCCATTTAATAAATTTGTAATGAGTGAAGGGAATTTTGTCCATAGGATGCTTATGAAAGCTTAATAGCAATAGAGTACTCTCACCCTTATGGAATTGTTTACCCTGAGAATTTAATAGTGATGGTAGGGTATTAGAATTATTAAATGTTCTACTTTTGTTATTTTTAGTTGCTATTATAATTGAATAGTATGTATTTTCACTGACTCAGCAGTCTTTTCTATTGTCATGTTGAATTAACATGATCTATTTAATTTTTAGGTTCAAGTATTTGGATTATATTCTGGAGAAGAATTTCATGAGACTTTTGACTGTCCTATTAAAGTAAGTTTTTAATCTTTCTGAGGTTTTCTGATCATGATACGCTGATACCATTTGGATGCTGTGAAACGAGAGCAGGATATACATTAGAAGACTGTTATGTGTCTATCTTCAGGGAGTTTTTATTTTGGTGGTTATACTGACATGCATGCACATACATGGACACCCACTGACACAGATACCCAATCTGTGCTTAAAAACTTAGGTAAAATAGCACTACAGTTCAAAGATAAAAAGTCATTATTTTCAATTCTTTTAAGTGATGGCTTCATAGATGGAGCAATATTTGACTGGGCTTTAATAAATGGACAGGGGCAGATAGAAAAGCTGGCTTTCCATGTGGAAGAATAACAAAATAGAAACGGAGGTGTTAGAAAGTTCACATTGTTTTCAGGAAGAGTCTAGTTTAGGTGATGCATAAAAGACTGATTTGTCCAGAGAAGTATACAGACTAACTGACTAGAGCTAGCTCAGTCTGAAAGCTAAGGAATTGGTCTCTGTCTGATAAAAGGAAATTATTGAATGTTTAAGAATAAAGGAGTGACATTAATTAAGCTAATTTTTAGGAAAATTAATACAGTCCCTGTATACTATATAGATTGCTGGTCTGATAGACAAGAGGCAAGAAGACCAGTTTTAGATAACAATTATGGTAAAGTGTGCTTGTTAAAAAAGAAGAGGTCATTCTTTTTTTTTACCCGTTTGTTTATTCAAACACTTATTGACCATTAGGTAAAGGAGAGATAAGATCTGACATGTGTTTTATAAAGGCGAATTTACCATAAGGAAGGGTGATTTAAACAGGAGAGTGGTGATGAGAGACAATTCAGCAGGCTAATGGAATATTCTGGGAACAATATCAGGAGCTTGGTAAAAAAAGTGATCATGAGTATTTAAGACAAAGTAGAAAAAATGAATTTAGGCTGCCCATGGGAGGTAGACTTTTTTAGCTTTAGTGATGCATTTGATGAGAATGATCAAAAATAGAGGAGCTGAAGGTAAATTCAGGTTCTTGCTTTGATAATGGCATGAGAATACATTAAGGGATGGTTTGAGTAAGGACATTGCTAGTTTGGTCTTGGATTTAGATAGCTATAGTACATTGTATTACAGAGGTTTTAGAAACATGAGTATGGACTTTAGGATAGATTCTGGCCCTTAAATACAAAGTTGGTACACGCAATTGAGTAAGATAAACCCATTTTAAAAGATATTATTCCATTTAAACTATAAAGTGAGAAGAAAAGCCCAATCTTGAAATTCTGGAGCATCCTAAATTTAAAGATTCAGGTGGTAGAAGCAAAAATAGTAAAGGAGTGGTCTGAGAAGCAGACACCAGAAGAGCTAGACACCAGAAGAATGGTGTCAGGCACACCAAAGAGACAGGGCTTCCAGAGGAAAGAAGTAGGTTGCAGTGCCAAAGGCAGCTGGGGTTTTAAATGGTGGGAAGACTAAATCAAGTATACTTTATTTGGCAATTATGACGTTTTTGGTGATCACAGTGAGAACAACTTCAAGAGGAAATTGGAGGTGAGGGTGTCAAAACAACGGTAATATTATTTCTCATTCAGGAAATTTGGTAATAAAGAAGATAGATTATGTGGCAGACAAATCAGGTAATGTCTAGAGAACGTTTCTGCAGATCACATTTTGGCTGATGGTAAGAATTGGTAGAGAGGGAAAGGTTGAAAATAGAAAAAAAAATACTGGAGCAGCACTAAGCAGTGAGATTGACCATTTAGGGTAGATAATTTTGGAAAAAGCCTTCTCTATCTGCGTGTGAGACAGGGACAAGGTGAGGCTCAGCCCAACTATGGCAAAAGTCGGGCAGTGAAAGAGTAGCAGTTTATGGCAGTGGCCCTAGTGGCTTTATTTTCTTATACTTGAAGGGGAGAAAGCAGGGAAAATGATGTTTTTCATTTGCAAAGATGTCTGTTTTGCCTTAAGAGAGAACTAGAAGGACTCTTCAGAGATTTTAAGAATATAAAACAATACAATCCCTGTAAATGCTTCTATATTAGTGTTTTGGATCGATTAGGAATGTGTTGAAGGGAAAGCTAACCTGAGAGATAGGAGTGGTTAAAAAAAAATGAAGGGCCCTATGCTAAGCCCTAAAAATGACAGTGTGAAAGAAATCTGTTAACATATTCTGTTGAAGAAGGGAAATATATTAGTCCATTAATAAATGTTTTTAGTCCAATGTTAGAAAAGATCAAAATTAATTAAGTTGCTGGTTTTATGGATCATCTGGCTTTTAAAAGGCAGAATATATGCAGGCTTAGAGCCATAACAGATGAGCCCCCAAAGAGGGAGTTGTGCTAATTGGAGCCACTAGAGTATCATTATTGCCTTCATTGTCCGCCCCCTACACACTGTATGTCAATGATATTATATAATCGTAAAGCCACTAGCAGTAACAAGGAGTGGTAACAAGAGCAGCCTTGGGAGAGACCTGTATAACAAGGGACTGAGGAGAGATTTGAATGGAAAGCTAATGAGAATCATAGGGACAGGAACTTAGGTTTTGGGCCAGGGGTGAGGACCCTAATGATTAGTTCCATACCTCTTAGGTCCTCTACCTCTATTGCCTCAACCTCTGACGGGGCCTTGGTATAAATGGAAATTGTGTGGGAGGCTATATTGACTCACCTCTTCCACTTGGTGCCATTCATCGTGGAAGCCATCTTGAACAAGGAGGTAGTCAGGTTCTCTCAGTGGGTTTTTTCTATGAATTGTATTTAGTTACCAATAGTTTTGACACCCGGCTACCTTAAAGACCTTCTTTGTTGCCTCTGAAGAGGAGGTATCTGCTTATAGGGGGTCTTCACTGAGTGAAAATTAGAACTAATCATTTTTATTTTTAGCGTTTTGACCTGACTTCAGAGAATTTTCACTTAAGAGCAAAACTCATAGGGAAGAATTACAGAGCTTTGGTTTGTGTAGAGGGCAGTCAAGGGAGTGGGAGATTGTGGGAATGGGAAGGACAGGAGAAAAAGACAGATATTATACCCTATATACATGCATGATTACACTAGTGGAGTGACTCTAAACCATGTACAGCCAGAGGAATGAGAAGTTATGCTCCATTTGTGTGCCATATGTCAAAATACATTCTATTGTAAAATAAATAATTAATTTTAAAAAGAGCAAAACTCAGTCTCAGAATATTATTGCATGTATTACTTCGTACCAAGGTATTAGGACAGCTTTTAGGTCATGCTGCTCTTTATATATAAAGAGTTTTCGTTCAGTGCTTTAACTGTGACTCTTATACTAGGCTTGGATTCTTTTCTCTTGTAGATCATTGCTGTACACCCACATTTTGTGAGATCCAGTTGCAAGCAGTTTGTGACTGGAGGGAAGAAGGTAAATATTTTGTGTGTCTGTCGTGATGTGGAGCTGTTGAGGGTGTTTCATTTGATCTGTAATTTGTCTTTAATGTCTAACTATTCTTCAGGAGAAATTTTGAGAAAGAAAAATGTAATGAAATTGTAAGAACATTATCTCTTGGGGTTGTTGTGACCTCGGTGTTTTTCACTACCTTCCTTTGAAGTAGGTACAGGACAAGATTAAAAGAGATGTTACTCCATCTACCACCTAGAGATTTGATATATTGTCTCTTCCACAAAAAAAGAGGCAGCATTTAAAAATAAAAAACAGCAATTAAATTAGTGATGTTTTTCCCCTTTACAGAAAATCTCTTTCAGGCTTTGATAACATTTTAGGATAATTATTGGTACTCTGTATTATCTTGTTCCTGGCACATTTTATTATCTCAGTGAAACCTTTCTCTACATGATTATCTTTGTAATTATAATAAGTTCTCAAATCAAAGCATCATTCTGCTGATAGTATAAGTCAATTTTTATCTATTAACCAGAAATATTTTCAAAGCCATTTTTATAGCAAAACACTATCCATACTGCAACTATAAATATTATTGCTTATTCGCTTTAGAGCCAGTGAAAAACAAGTAGTCTGTGCCTTTTTCTCCCTCTTTAAAGTAGTATATACATACAGTATGTATATACTATATTTTTTGAGGTCCAGCTACTCATTTGTTTTGAATGTTATAGTTATCCTTTGTTTCCTCATGGTCTGGTAGTTTATGGAATGATGGCAGAAAAGTATACTGGTCATTCCCTAAGTCACTGTAATGCGTATGGGGCAGGTCTGGGGAATCCTGATTTGAGCCCAAGGCATGAAGCCAAGATTGCACTAACTATGATTTCTGCTTTCGAGGTAGCTCCTTTCCTTCCACCTCATAACCCATTGTTATTCTTTGGTTCTAGTCTGATTTGCCTTAGGTAAAAATATTCGTGGTACTAGTTAATTGCAGACTTAATGTCACATTCTCTATTGTAGACCTATACCTCATCTACTCCTATAAAAGTAACTCCCTTCCTTGCCCTTTTCAGCCTTAGGAAAGAGTAGCTTTAAAACTCCACATATGTTTCTTTATTAAACACATTTTTGGAGAATTTTGTGTGTGATAGAGCATAAACTCACTTAGCTGTGATTTGAGCTTTTGCATTTTCATTTAAAACTCAGTGAGGATAAAGCTTTGGTGGAGTTTAAACAACAAATGCTTATTATTTCATAATCTGAAAATTAAAGAGTAGCTTAGTAATTAAGTTCCAGCTAAGGGTCTGTTGAGAGGCTGTATTCAAAATATTGGCTCAGGCTGCAGTTATCAGAGGCTTTATTGGTTCTGTAGAGTCTGCTTTGAAGATGTTTACTGTCTTCTTACAAGTAATCTACATTGTACTTAAAATATTGATGAATCACTTTGGTTTAAATATTTCCCTATAGTTTAATGCAGTTTTGACTTCTGGTTTCCAATTTTAGGAGTTAGAGATTTTACCATCCCCTATTTCTTAAAGGTATTAGAAATAAGAAACATAATAGGAGTGTTACTCTCCAGGTAGGCCTCAGAATCTGAAGATGAGATTCTCCTGTGTTAGTTTGGTTCTTAAGAATTTATGTATCTGTGAAGTTTAATAATTTTCACTTTTTGTATAGGAATAACAGTAATCTCATCAAATTTTCATTAATTTTGCTACACACATCTACCTGCAGAATGCCTGGGTTACATAATAACATATTCTTCACCCTTATATTTAGTATTTGATAACATTTACAGGAAAAATAGTGTGAACTTGGCAGTTTGGGTCAGATTTTTTGAGTAAAGTAAGTGAGCATTGTGTAAACAGCGGTTACCTAGCATCTCAGTGTTGGCAAGGTTATATAGGAAGAACTTGGAGTTTATGGGATACAGACATGATAAACAGTAAAATAAGTAGAATTCAAGTAAGAACATCAGAGTTTTGATTCATCTCTTCACTTATTGACTATTTGATAGGTGATTCTATGTTCAGTTTTCTCTAAGAAAGAATTCTGACTTCCCCTTTCCTTATTCAATTCTCCAGGAATGCGTCTGTGCATTTCTTTTTCGACGCACAAGAAGATGTTAATGTGTAAATAAAATGAGACTAAGTAAAAACGATTCAGCTCATCTGGTAAAAAAGAATTTAAAAATGATGTTATTACCAAATTAGAATTTCTAAATTAAAATAATTTTTTAAAATACAGTAAGTTTTAAACATTATTGTATATAAGACTTAGTACTGGGTCTGATAAATGTACATGTGTAATATTTTGAAGTGAAAAAACATGTGATTACACATTTTGGTTTCAATATGTTAAGTAATTTTTCTTTTAGATTTTTTTAATGTTTTATTGATAGATAATTCATATACCATAAGGTTCACTAATTTAAAGTATACTATTCAATAGTTTTTAGTGATATTTATAGTGTTGTGCAGCCAGCAATATGATTTTAGAACATTTTTATCCCCCTTTAAAAAAATCCTTTTGCCACATCATCTTTCCTCCTTTCCTTCCATGGCTAGGTAACCACTAATCTACTTTATCTGTAAATTTGCCCATGCTGGACATTTCATATAAATGGAATTATACATAATCTTAGAGCTGGCTTTTTTTTTTATTAGTGTTTTTGGTGCACGTGTGTTGTAGCATGTATCAGTACTTCATTTCTTGAGATGACAAAATATTATTTTACTTTATGGGTGTATCTTATCATTTATCTGCTTTATCAGTTGATGAACATGTGGGGTCTTCCTTTTGGTAATTATGAGGAATGCTGCTGTGAACATTTTATACAACTTCTGGTGGCTGTGTGTTTTCATTTCTCAATTGCAAGGTTTTTGAATCATATGGTAACTCTATTAGCATCTTGAGGTACTGTCAAACTGTTTTTGTAAAGTGACTGTACCATTTTACATCTTCTGCAGAAATACCTGAGGGTTTCAGGTTTTCCACTTTGTCACTAACATTCATTTTTGTCTGTCTTTTTGATTGTAGCCATCCTGGTGCATGTTAAATGGTATCCCATTGTGATGCTCATTTTTGTTTCCCTAATGACTTAATTATGTCACATATCTCTTTTCATGACCTCATTGACCATTTGCATATTTTCTCTGAAGTAATGTCCACTTAAGTTCTTTGCCGATTTCTAAACTGGGTTATTATACAGTTGTAAACATTTTTTATGTATTCTGAATGCATGTTTCTTATCAGTTATATGATTTGCAAATATTTTTTCCCAGCCTCTGAGCTGTATTTTCCCTTTATTGATGACATCTTTAGAAGCAAAAAGTTGCATCTAAGATACCCACGTCCAAGATCATAAATATTAATGCTTATATTTTCTTCAAAGAGTTTGCAGTTTTACCTCTTAAATTCAGTCAAGGATCTACTTTAAGTTCATGTTTGTGAGTGATGTAAGGTAGGGTTCTAAATTCATTCTTCTGCATGTGGCTATCCATTTGTCCCACCACATGTTGAAACAACTCTTCTTGTGTTGGCCCCTTTGTTGAAAAATCAGTTAACCATAAATGTCAGGTTTTACTTCTGGACTTTCAGTTCTGTTGATCTGTATGTTTATCCTTGTGCCAGCACCCCTTTTAGGTTTTATGTATTTATTCATTTTTGTGGTTCTGAAGATTAAACCCAGGGCCTATGCAAGCTAGGTAGATGCTCTACTGAAGGACATTTTCAGCTTCACCTTTTGGGTTTGAGAGCCACTAAGTTTGCTATAGTTACTTATAGGATGACAAACAAGTTAATGATTACTCTTATAATATTTTGAATTTCAGTTCTTTCCCTTTTCAAAAGCCAGTATAATTTCTCTGACTTATATTAGAGGCTTTAAAAATTTAAGGGTGTCCTCTAAGGATTTGTAGCATACAAACTTTGGACTCATGTCTATTATGTAAATGTGTACTTCATAGTAAAAAGTAACATTTATTTGATAAACTATAATGACATCTTTGTATACAGTACACCCTCTTGGTGTGCTCACAGTATCTTTTCTGTATACACTTTTAAAGATCACTGATACTACATGCTTTTGACATTATTGTGTTCTGCTTATTTTGTTGAAGATATTTCAGGAAGTGTTTTTTTCTAATTTCATTATAAATATGTCTTTGATTTTTAAAACCAAAGATTTTAGAAGATGACATTAAGAAGGGAGGACTATTATGCAATGATTTGTTTCGTTTAGAAAGTGCTAGCAAAGAGGAGGTACTCATCTATAACTAAGTTATGGAAGTTTATACCTTTGAAAAATGAGAAAAGCAAAAACACTATTTGCCCAATTGCAATGCGTATCGCTTCAATTACAATTTTAAAGTAGCACCATAAGCAGAACAAGTTTGAAAAAGCCAGCATTTAGCAAATTGTGGTGAACCTTGCAATAATCACAGTTGCGGATGCCAAGACTCCTCTGCTTGGAATAGGTGGCAGATCACATAGAGGGAAATGAGAATGAAGACAGATATTATGTGACTGAGAGGTTGTGACCATCTGCCTTTAAGAAACAATTTAATCTTCAAACAAATTAGAGCAAAGACTAGCCAGATACAAATGTAGTGTGGAATAAAGGCATTCTTAACCCTTAAGAACACTAATGTACAGTTTGATCATCTGTTCTCTGATACTTGGAACTGTATGCAAATTTCTGTAAACAGAGGGTTAGTACAACAGAGACAAGAAAAGCTAAGTAGGAAAATGGAGGTCCTATAATGAGGTATTCATTTCATTCAAAGAACAGTTGAGAGATGTCCCAGTTAATATCTTACTCGTTTTAATGTTATTAATATTTTTGATTCCTGTAAAAAAATTGAAGTAATTAGAACATCGATTTTAAAATAGTGCTGCAAAATAGCAGTGTGGCAGGAAAAAAAAAACCTGAAACTGTCATTTGACACATTTATTGATATTTCCTTTTTAAGGTTTTAGCAGCTTAGGTCTTTAGAGAGAGCTTCTTATCCACAAGGTAC